CAAAGTAGTTTTCCTGATAGCAATTACGTCTGCCCGAAGAATCTCTGAACTAGCTGCATTATCAGTGCGCAAAGATCTCTGCATTTTCCATTCAGATAGAGTGGTTCTCAGACCAGATCCCTCCTTCATTCCAAAAGTTAATTCGGCATTCCATAGAGCTCAAGAGCTGGTGCTCCCAAATTTTTGCTCATATCCATCACACAGGCTCGAACACCAATGGCACCGCTTGGACGTAAGAAGAGCCTTAGACATAAAGTGCATGGCGCCCTCCAGAAAGACAGAAGCCCTCTTTGTGCCCTTTCAGCCTAACACTCTGGGGTGCAAGGTTTCCCCCTCTACCATAGGTAGATGGCTAAGGGCCACCATCTCTAAGTCGTATGACTCTCACTCGATTCCAGTGCCCCAAGGCATTACCGCTCACTCCACCAGGAGTGCAGCCACCACAGCAACATGGGCGACCCAAGCTACAATAGAGGAGATTTGCCGAGCTACAACCTGGGCTTCTCCATCTCCATTTATTAGAAATTATAAAATTGACATATTTGCTTCTGCTGAGGCTTCATTCGGTAGGCGAGTTTTGCAGCAAGTTATTTCAGAGACAATTAGGTCTGCAACCCAGATGGAGTCCCTCCCTTAGGACTGTGCCAAGCTTTGGTATGTCCCATCACTAGATGCTCTGAACAGCTCATGGGAGAAAGGGTGTTGGTACTTACCTGATACGCCCATTCTCTGTGAGCTATGAAGAGCATCCAGCCCCTCCCTTTTATTCCATCTGTTAATGGGTCTGTTCCGGCCAGGGTTATTACATAGGCTTAAGCATATAGGGTATCAATACCTTGGCTTCGCAAAACTGGGGACGCTAAGGAGGAGTCTCGTGGAGGAGGAGGAGTGTCCTCAATTTTAAGCCCAGCCTTCCTAGAAAGGACTAAGCACCTTCCCATCACTGGATGCTCTTCACAGCTCACAGAAAACGGGTGTATCAGGTAAGTACCAACGCCCTTTCTGAATCTCCTTCCCTATCATTTCAACCAAATGTTCTGCTATGCTCCCCACAGTGACAGAGAACCATACTAGTTGTTGAGTTTCATTAGCATTCAGTGTCTCCTTTTTTCCCCCCAAAGTTTTATTAATTAAAAAAAAAACCATAAACAAACAAAATGCAAAACATGAAAACATAAAACATCTTTTTTGAAAGCAGCTTGATCCCGGGTTACATCTCTTCGTACAGATACAAATTCAAGTTCATGCTCATTTTTATATACCATTCCATATCTTATTACCATTCTACATTTTCTATATAGCTTCTCCCCTTTTTTAACTCTCTTAATTCTATTTTATTTTTTTCATCTCAATTTAAATCATTATACTTATATCCTTTGTCTGTCCTGTTTCAACTGTCTATTATCTTTTCTCATTAAAACAAAATTTCTCCTGTAATCACTGATTGGAGTATGACTCCTTTATATCTTTCCCCTAAATTTATAACACTTAATATAATACAATAACTCATTCAGATTCTGCTTAGTACATTCTAAAGCTACACACTATATTTTTAAAAAAGAAGAAATTATAAATGTTTAATATAATTAAAACAACAATCCATACCAGTTCAACTCCATCATTAAAGTTAATATTCATTTAAATCTTAAACATTTTACACATTACTTTTCAAATAGGTATCATGCTTCTATGGGAACACTTATACATTTTGTGTAGTTACTCCCCTCACATTTCACTTATATTTTAAAACATTGTGTAATTAAAATGTTTCCATTCCTTCCTAATTCAATTCTCTCATTTATTTCATTTCATTTATTTTGTTCAAAAAAAGTTTCACTAAATTACACTAAGTATTTTATCCCATTTTAATCATATATTGTTCCAATTTTCTAACATTATTTCTAATACAAATATAACAATACAATCTTATGTACCTTTGCAGAATCTCATTTTCAGTTACATTTTACCCATTATCTCTAAATAAGTCCTGTTTCTTTACATCTTGCTCCAAATCTTTGTAACTTCTCTTCCTCCCTTGTTTCTTCACTGTACCTTTTTTACCCCCTTGTTTCTCCATCTCTATTTCCCTCTTCTGTGTTCCCCTTTTCTGTTGCTTTCTGACATTATATCCACTTTTCACCTTATTTTTCCCTTTTTTGGTTGTTTTTTTAGGTCTTAAATTCTCCATTCTCTTTCCCCCCTTTCCCCTTTCTTCCTCAGATACAGTTACTTGTTCATTAAAGGTGGCTTCTTCTTTGTCCCAATCCTCTTGTTGTGCAGTCTTTTCTTGTAGCTTCTCATAGGTGCAGATCGCCATTTCTAAGAAATGAAAAACAGAGCCAAAAGAGCCCTTCCCTTCTTGTTCCTCTTCTTTATATTTTTTGAATTCCATTTTCAGTTCATCCACAAGTGATGCCATTGTAAAAAAAAATTTAAACAACCACCCAATTGTTTTTAATTATTCAAATATAGTTTCCAGAAGTCCCAGAGTCACCAAACAATCCAAATACACACAAGCTATTTCATTTAACCTTTCTTCTTTTTTCACTTTCTCTTCCTGGGGTTACTATTTAGTTATAAAGTTCCAGTTAAAATGTATCTTTTAGAAGTCTTGTTACAATTTAACTTTAGATTCTTTTAAATTCCAAGCAGCCTCCTCCAGCCAAATCTTGCTCTTATTCTTTTCCTCTCCCACTTACAGCAAAAAAAAAAAAAGTTTTTTAAGTGTTCAGAAATCTTTATTGTCCCCTTGGCATTTAATCCAGTTTAATTACCTGATGGTGCCAAAGCGGATTTTTCCAATTTTTCATTCATCTGCTGTCAACGTAAGGAAGGAGAGTGAGAAAAAAAAAAAACTTTCCCTTTTCACGTTCATTCGCTACTTCCGAATCTTCTTTGGGAGCGATGTATCTTTTATAAGACTTAAATTCCAGGGTATCTCAGTTGTTGCTTCTTGTCCCTGTCAGCAAAAACTTTCACTTCTTAACTTCCTCCTGCACTTTCTTTTCCGGCTGAGTGCTTCTTTGAGGTGGCCATTTCTGACCGCCGCTCTACTGCCTTTGGGAAAGGGAGTTTAGCCGGCTGGGGAGGAAAGATGCGGCTTCTCTCGACCCTGCTGGAATTTCCCCCCTCTTCGCACACCTCTACGGGTGGCTTAGCCCCAAAGCCAAGTGGCTCGGGGTGCTCTAGCAGCAAGCCCAGGCAGAAACCGTGCACGATCGCAGATTCCTGTCTGCCGCCGAAGCGCTGCAAACCGGAACTCAGCATTCAGTGTCTCCTGATCATCTTGTATATAATGAGGTACTGAATGATCTGTGATCATTCATTTTCTTTGCCTTGTCAAACACAGATATTTTGGGCTTCAGTCTCTCTTTCCCTCTCTTCCTCCCTCCCCCACTCTCTCTCCCCTCTCTCCCTTGGAAAAGATTTCTCTTTAAAAAATATGTTGCAAATGCCTTCCACATCTTTTTTCCTAATTTCCACTTGCCATTAATTTTGTGGTCTCTGTTACCAATGTATGGTGTTCCCTATATACCTTATTATCTTTGCATAAAAGCAAGGCCCAGCATCATACTGAACATGTAACATAATGCAGAGTTTTACTCAGCCAGATATACAATTTCTATTTCACTATTTCTGCCTTAGTGTTGCAGATACCAACTCTGTGCAAGAAAAGCTAGAGGCAATATGTAGACTGGAACAAAGTCATTCAGAAAGCTTGAATGTTGATTGATTGATCAAAGGTTCTGAGTTTTAGTCTTTGCTTTAACTTTAAAAGATAAGAGAACCTGCCAGCCTTCTCTCCATTTAAAAGATTAAACATTTCAACAGCTCTACAAAAGAGAGTAGTTTTAGCTTTGTAGGCTTTCGAAAATATCCTTCCAGTGGAACTTTAAAAAAAAGATTCTTATCAATCTGAGTCAGGAAATTTTTTCAGTTACAGAACTAAGTTCTTTACTGTCTTTATAAAAATAATCTGGGGGAATCTTCTATATTTTTCTAAAGATAAACTATATATATAGTGGTCTGGACATCTTATTTAACCATGACTTCTGAAAACCAGACTTTGTTCCAATTTTCCTGTCCATTAATATAGGCAACATAAGACAAGTTTGGTCAGTTATATATGAACAGAACTCTAATGTCCTAAAAAAATTATGGAGTACCTCATTGCAGTATAATTATTTTTGCAAATAATTCATTCAATCTAGGTGGTGGTACTCTATAATATTAGGAAAGTTTAAGGTATACCAAATGTATTTTTGAAGGTATTAGATAAAAATATATTTAATCACCTGCCACATGAGTTTTGTCAGTTTAAAAAAAAAAGTGAATTACAATAGGCATGAATACTTTTTTTTAATATGCTATCAGTTTAATTGTTGAATTGATTGATTACATTTAAGTTTAATCATTAATCTGTATTTAAGGGAAGAAAATATATAAATTATCTTAGTTTTCTGTCATGGTAATTTCATTTATAACAATACAGACCGTTATTTTTATTCTATTAGAAAAATGTTTTATTCCTGATCTTTAACTGTTTTGATAAATTTGCCTGAAATATTTTGAAGATTTACTGTTTTTCCTTTTTTTCTAAATGGATGATACATTAAGGTACAATAATGGGTTGATTTTGGTATGGATCAAAATCCAGAATATTAAGAACATTTATGGTTTTATCATACTTTTTCCTCATCAGAAATGTTCAAGTCACATTTTACTTCATTAGCCTAACAGCAGTATATATACATGGTATTGAAAATGAGCCATTTTGTTTTAAAACAGATTGCAGATGAAAAGAAACCATTCATTGCTTACTGTAATTACTAGAGCACTAATTACCTCTAATCACTGACATCCAGGGTCAATAAGGATGACAACAGAAACAGCCTTTCAAAGCAAGCTGTAATTTATTTTTTATTATTATAGCTATCACATTTTGCTAGAAGCGTTAAAAGTTGTTGATTTATATTTTATTTTATTTTTTCTATTTGCAGTTTGACGGTGAAAATATGTACATGAGTATGACAGAGCCGAGCCAGGAGTATGTGCCAGCCAGCCAGGTGGGTTAATTAATCTTCTCTGTCTTGTTTCAAATTGTAATTAAACAAATTCAAAGAATTGCATTGCAAATGAATGGCACTATCAGTAACTGCTGCAATCAGAAATAATCATAATTTATAAACAAAGCATTTAAGCCTTCTTCCTAGCTAATGAGATAGCACTGATAAAGCACCAGAGTTGACAGTTGCTGAAGACACTACCTTGTTTGTGCTCCAGAATGGAAGCAGCTGTTTTGCCAGCATGATCGTTACCAAACAGTTGTTATACCTTTGGAGAGTAATCTTTACAGGTGCCTGCTATTTGTTTATCTAGCTGCAGATAAGTTAATCATTGTCTGCCACATGTGCTAGACTATTGTCTATTGCTTTACTGTTGTATGCAGACCTAGTTGACAAAATGGCTGGTTCAGATTTGAAGGATGATGGAGAGATTGTCATAAGTGGGAAGTCATGGTATCTAAGTGCTTTCCAATCCATTGTTTCTCTTATTCAGAAAAGGCCTGCTAACCTGGGAGGAAGGTCCAGCTAATCCAGAAATAAGTCAGCAAATAATTGATCACATGTGGGTATACCACGAAGAATAAAGATAATAGTCTTCCATTGCTAATAAATGGTTATTAATAGCATAATTGTTTTAAATATGATACCTTTATTTAGATAGTATTTAGTGGCCATTAAAAATATATCCTGCCATGCCTTTGAAAAAGAGATCACATGATTAATGCAGCATTAATGTAATTTCTTTTGTTTGTGCCATACCATGTCATTGGAAGAACCCAAGCTTTTAAGGATTAGGCAACATTGGCAATATAGAATCATAGCAGTACATAAAGTCAGTTTATTAAAGCAAAGATTTTACTAACATCTGACTCAGAATGTTGCTTTTATGTAAAAATGTAGGAGGCACAGAGATAAGAGGGGTCAGCCTAAAATCCCTACATAATCACAAGGAAACTAAATCCAACTTCCCTTGCATTCCATTGACCAATATTTAGCTCCAAGCAAGTGCTAACCATTGGTTCGTTGGTGCATCTAGACATTGCAGACAATGCACTGTTAATGTTCAGTTAATGTTCATAAATGTGTACTTTTGCCCATGGTGAAAAATAGATGAAAAAGTACAACCATCTATTTTTTTTCAGATTGATAGTTTACATTGTTCATGCATAGATCATGCACTATAATATACATGTTATTTAATTGGCCTATAAACAATTACAGCATTCCTGTGTACAATTTTATCCAAGAGCTGAAAATAAAATGAATTGAAAGTGGATATAAGTTAATGCTTCTGTTAGAAGTATCTAAATAGGGTCCCTAAATGTTTCAGTAGGAATCTGTTTTTTTCTAGAATTGGTCAAGCTGAGATACCAAATTACCATATTTATACACATGAGTCCTGTCCTGGTTTTAGTGATGATGATATCCATTCAGTTGTGTCTGACTCTTGGCAATTCTATGGGCCAGGTCTTTCCACATCTTCCAGTCTTGCACTACTTCTTTGAATTGTTCTATACTCTGGCTGGTCAACTTTGATGCTGTGTTAATTGGTAGCCTGGTTTCCTTTTACCATTAATTCTTCCAAATATAATTGCTTTTTTTTCTAGTGAATTGCCCCAAATGATATCACCAAACTGGTTTCACTACTCTCACACAATTGGTATGGCAGTTCATAATTTACTCAATGGATAACATTTAAAGGATGTCTTAGACACTTGCCTGAATGATTTGCATTTTAAATAGGAGCGTATAGAAGAATAGTCCAAAATCAGTTCAAGGTTCCAAAAGCCATGCCAGAGTTGTCAGTCAATCCAGAAGTTAGAGATTCAAAGTTTCTTACATAAACAAGGTTCATAGGAATTTCACAGAAGAAGCAAAGATCAGACGTTTTCAGCAAAGGGAACATGGGTCAGGACTGCCAGTTAAATTAGACTGCTACCACTAATCAAGAGATTTACTCCCTTGTTTGTCACAAAGCCTGATGGAAAGACTCTGCTCTCTACTTGTAAGGGATGGGGAGGCTTTATATTATTTCCATCTGGCTACTCCAGCTGTCCAGGTAATGCCTGTTTTTTATCCACCTCATTTGACTCTGGGATGGTGTCTCCTGGGGTTTATATCCACAGATTCAGCTGGAACTGCTTGTTGAGAGCTTTGGTTATGATAGGTGTAAGCCTTAAATAGCTGTGATGTAATTCAGTAATTAGAAGTTTGTAAAAGTTAGCTAGGTTCCTGGGACTAAATTTAAGTAAAAAGCATATAGTTACGATGCTCTTTTTTAATTTATGAAAGTTATTTGTTGATGTGTTGTTTATTTATAAGCTAATGGGTTATTTAGGGAAGTAAGAAAAGAAAACACTGTAATTGAAATATCACCAAATCTCATCTAGGGGATCCAGTAATGCTGTATATAACACGTCAAAAATGGTTTCCCCCAGATTGTAGGTTAATTTTTTTTAAAAAAAATATTTTCCAATAAGCATCTTATTCAGAAGTTGAATTCCTAAAAAAACAGCATTTTAAATATTATTTAAGTGGAACATTTGAAAACTACTAAACATACTTCTGCCATAATTATAGCTTTTCTGTATTTCTTTTATAACATAAGGATCCTTTACAAAAGTAGATCATATTGTTCAGTATTAGGGAATGAGACGGAGGCAATTAACAATTCTTTTGAAACAATGAACTGGTATGATTGAACTTGCTTATCTGAGAATCTATATTTTTCTGGTAACTGTGAATATAAATGTTTGAGTAAAAATTGGGAGAGATATCTTTGTGTCCAAAGCTTGTTTTGACAAGTTTAGCTGTATTTTAAATTAAAGCAACTAGGCATCATCTTGCTTATATCTTTAGGGCTTTGAATCAAAAGGATTAATTGAATTTATTTGAAAGTGTAGAAGCACAAAATGTTACAAAGCAACTGATACTTTGCAGAGAATCATTATGTTTCTCTTTACAAGAACCAGTACTAAACAGCTGCATTTTCTAATATGATCCCTGCATTCTGTTGTT